TGCAATAAAATTAAATATTTACCTCTTTTCTTCTTGAGGCGGTGGGAGAAGAAAAAGATGAGGCCATTGATGGTAAAGAACGAGCCACCAACAAGGATCTCTCGAACCCAGCCGATTATCTGGCCTGGGAAGGAACCAGTGGTGACTTTACCATGAAGACTCTTACAACGAGCAAGCCCACCTATAGCTACCCAGATCTTGGAGGGATGAAGGATAAAAGAAAGAAGGTCTAGAAGGAGGTCCTAGAAAGCCACGGTCTCATCAGAAAAGCCATGTAAGGTGATGAGACTCTTTTCACTGAGATTTTTTTCCCCAGTATTTCTTGTATTTGTTGTTGATGAGAGCATGGTTAGACGTGGCAATAAGCTCATTTAGTGATGGACACAGAGACAGATGACACGAATGAATTCATAGGCAGGCACACACAGAATAAATTACCCAATGATAGGTCAGTAGTTATTAGAGGTTTTAGTGTGGAAGGGATGGAAAACTCACGTTTCACGTAGACGTTGACCCAGGGGCTGCTCTCGGAGCGAACGGCACGTCCAGACTTAAATACAAAATAGGCACAACTGTAAGACCCGGAGACCTCCCTTCCTGTGATTTGCAGGTTGTAGCTGTAGTTTGCAGTTTCACAACTGGGATGGAGATTGCAAGTCCAAAGTCTCCAAGTACTGGAATTCCTGATGATGTAGAATGAAGAAAAGGGGACGGTGCAGAGGAGCTTGACATTGTTCCCGTATCTGTAGACTGGCTGCTGAGGATCCAGGGACAAAACCGGGGCCACTGGAGCATCTGGGGGGGAGAGCAAACAAAACCTGCTACCTATTGACATAAGGATTTGTGCACAAAACCCATTATTTTTTCCAATGTCATGCTTCAGATTTGACAAAGGGAGTAGACAAGTTAATTCTCTAGAATATTACTGGGACAAATACAGAACTTTTTACTAACGATCAGCTCTTGTGTGAGTCATTCATCACTCTTTTTTCTACATGTCTTGAACTATGAGAAGAGAAGCACAGACCCACAGACCTCAGAGATAAGAATTCTGAGCAACTCAGTTTCTTTGTATTCACCAAAGTGCAGAAAATAAGTACTCACACGACTAAAGAGGAAGGCACGTGATGCACCCCAAACCGTAAGGAAAGGCTTGGGAGGCTCAGCGCTGTGAGACCCCTTGGAGTGACAGAGCTGTTAGGCTACCCTATTCCTGACTGCTCAGAGAAACCCAGGAGCACAAAAGGAGCTTGTGAGAAGGCAGAGACTCGAAGCAACATCATCTAGAGGCAACACAAGACCCACGTACCCTGAACGTTGATTGAAAGAGGAAGGCTCCTATTGGAAAGAATTTCTCGTCCAGCATCCTTCACCCAGTACATGCACGTGTACTCCATGGCAGACGCTTTTGCAGCTGTGAGCTGGAACCAGGCAATTGTGTGAGAGTAGGAAGTACGTTTGTAGACTTGGTCCCCACTTCGATTGAAGAACCGAAATCCATCTACGCTCTTCATCGTCGGAGCCGTGCATATGAAAGCAACGCGTTCCCCTTCGTAGTAGACATCATAACTGGGGTCTGTGGAGAGCACAGGGACTGGCAGGGGGTCTGGGAAAGAAAGGTAAGGATTTAGAGGACGGGAGGGAATTTTCAAAGGGGAAAAGGAAAGTGACACATCCCTTTCCTCTCTGTTTCACAAAATGCAATCCAACTCCACCCCACTGCCAAAGAGTCAGTTTAGTTGGAGCGCATCTCACAACAGGTAAAATTGTTCTTACCAGCAGAGGATACAGCAAGTGGGAGCACCTGGAGGAAAGCTGTAAGAGACGGGTATTGAAGGCTTTGAGATGATAGGACAAGTCACAGGAGACTGCAAAAAAAGGAAGAAAATAAGCCACTTACACAGCAGCTGTGCGAGAAAGTATTGCATCATCGTGACCAAAACCGTCTTGGAGAAAAAAAGATGGGCGCCCAACCAGCTTATATTTCGGGCCCTATGAAGTCCTGCCCCTTTGGGGAATCAGCTGAGAAGGCAGCCACTCCCCAGCACTACATATTCATGGTTCCGTGGTGTGGAAAGTCTGGATGGATCACGGAGCAAACCAAGTGCACTATGCCACAGTCCCTTTGCAGACACTGGAGAGGCATGGCAACTGCAGGTCATGATCCTGATCCTCCATTTCTTGTGTTTTGTGAAAATTTCCCTTGGGAAATCCCAATCCCATCCAGAGATGGGTTCTGGGCTTGGCTATCTGTTCTCCTAGCTACTCCACCTGCCTAGTGCAAGGTTTTCTCCCTCTCCATAGGGCGACCACCAGAAATTTAACATCCTAATGAGCAACCACTCCTTCTCCACCATCCATCTGTCCATTTACCCACCCACCGTCAGCTTTGTGTTCACACACCATCACTCAGACAAATTTAGCCATCTGTATTGCTCGGTTTCTTCTACACACTCTGCTACTTGGTTCCATGTTTCTCGATGCAGACTCGTATCCCCAGGTACGTTCAGATGTTGAATTTGTGAGGGCTACTAAGCCAGCATGGGTCACTAGCCCCAAATGCCTAAACTATAATCTCAAATGACCTAAATTTACCACTTTAGGCAATGAACAAGATGTCCCATCTTCAGGTGTCATCATATGTCTGCCCAGGACCAACCCAGGACAAATTTTTTATCACAAAGGCTAAACACCTTCACCCAGTGACCAGCCTCTTAAGCACTGATGGCACTTGTTCCTTCAAAACCAGGCCTTAGCACCCTTTTTTGATGTTTGAGTTCCTAACCCTTAATTGTGCTAGGGGATTCATTCAAATTCAAGCTGAAAAAAAAGCAAATCAATTGCCCAAATTGATTTCAGCCTGCCCAGGTCTCTTGAAGAGCAACACAGCTGCCACAGTCACCCGCTGGACTCCAGTAAGTCCTAGAGGCAGAAATGACATCAAATCTGGAGGATTATTTTTAAATACAGATTGAAAGGCCTTGGTTTTGGAAATGAGAGATGATTTTTGGTTGCTGGTTTAATTGAAAATAATAAAATAAAAATTATGTATCAACTGCAACGAATCTGAAGAAAATTCATGTGCTGCTGAGGCTTCCTTTGGAAAAAAAATCTACAAAAAGCAACTTATCTTTTAGCTACATACAACATATGTTGGATGAGATTATTTCTTCTGTTAAAGTGATTTGATGATTGCCAAGCAATTGACTGATATCAGCACTAGGAAGCAGTATCTTGAATTTACAGAAATGGGGCTGCTGGAGTGTTTAAGGGTTTGAGAAGGCAAGTTCTCATGGGTCCTAAGAGAGGAGAAAGGAGGAGATGAGCTGGGCTGCAGGCTAGGATGAGATGAAGGATAAATGAATCAAATAAAAGCTTACAGAGATCAATATCTGGGGTTTCTGGCCAGCTGCAAGGATTAGAGAAGAGTCTGAGGAGCAGTGGTGGGCTGACCTGGCTGGCAGCTAAGCCCCACACGATGCTTGCCATGAGAAAAGAGACTAGAAAGAGCAGAACTGACAAAAGTTATGGGTCAAGGTTAAAAATGTTCAATAAGCAAATGAAAGAGGAAGAAGGAATTTAAAAAATAAACACAAG